GGTGGTTAGTGGATAGGACAGTCTTAGTGGGTCAGTGATAGAGACGAGATCTATTTCAAACTGTTGATGACTTACGTTCACAGTCATGAAAGTATATGATTAACTTAAGACCTCGTCAAGTGGGATGATTTGGTGATGGTGATGGTGGTGTTGATGATGATGGTGATGGTGGTGATAGTGATGCGGAGGATGAGTGGCTAGATGAAATAGTTGACCACATAGCCTGAATGCACTCGGGCATAGGAGTCGAATGAGTTCATAAACACTCTCCCCCCATGCTTTTGTAGTGTGGTGGTACAGTGGCTCAGCACTCGACTTTGCATCACGCGGACGGAGGTTCGAGTCCCGGCAAGGGCGTTTGGAACTTAAATATTTAAAGTGAAGATAGTGTTGCTATTCCCGATAATATTAAGATCGTATGTGTATTTGGGTACATGTAAATAATATATATATTTATATATATCAAACAAGATGATTGTTTCCAACTTTATTTAACAATGTAGATGACACGGACTTAAACTATTACAACACCAAGTTCAGCCAACAGCATCGCTTGTAGCACTTGACTAGAGCGACAACTTAGCCTAGTTGTTACTGCTGGGTGAGGGGGGGGGTAGGGGGGCGTGGGGAGGGGGTCCTGGGGATGGAAATAGGGGGAAGGGGATTTAGGGCTTGGGCCGCAGATGATGTGGGGGGGGGGTTAAGGAGGGAGGAGGGGGGGGCGGTGCCAGGGAAAAGGAAGAGAGGGATCCAGCCCTGTCTCTTTGGATAAAGTCCAGGTTTCTTGGTCTGGATAAAGCCCAAACCTCTTTAGATAAACCCTAGATTTTTTGGTCTGGATAAAGACCAAACATTTTTGGATAAACCCTAGGTTTTTTGGTCTGGATAAAGCCCAAACATTTTTGGATAAACCCTAGGTTTCTTGGTCTAGATAAAGCCCTGGTATCTTGGTTTGGATAAAGACCAGTTTTTTTCGTCTGGATAAAGTCTTGGTGTCTTGATTTAGACAAAACCCAGGTTTTTATAGGTCTGGATAAAGCCCAGCTCTCAATAAAATCCTGACTCTTCTAATTTCTTTGGTATAAGTAACTTGGTACGTGATTAAACGTGACACAGACGCGATCTCGTTCAATCAGACTATGATGGCAACGCGCTCACAGTCATCAAAACATGTTGTCTAACTCAGATCTTGACAAAGTATTACTAATTTATAACTATATACAAATAAGTGGGGGGGTAGGGGTAAGGGGGTAGTTGGATCGTCGGGTTAAATATCCATTCTATAAATCCATCTGTACATTATTAAGAACTATAATTACTTAATTAATACGCCTATGTTAATCTATTCTAACAAACGGTCTAACTTTGTACATATTGGTACACCGAAGCAGGATTTATTGATTTAGTTTTTTTTTATACATCCGACATCAATATATGGCTGGAGGAATGATAGAAGAGAAAGAGGAGAAGGAGAGAAATGATGAAAGTAAATGAGTAGAGGAAGAAGGGAGGATAATTGAAGGATTCAATGCGAGGGTTTCGAATGGTCGTTTGTAGGTTCAGGGGAGCTCCTAACACGGAGATCTGCCGGAGATGAACAGTGTGGAGGAGACGGGGAAGCTGAGGCTCGCAGGACGCTGCTTAAGGATCGCCCTGCGTCCCCTAGGGGCATGTCGACGTCGTCGGCGTCTCTAGAGGGCGACGACATCATTAACCTGGCGTCGAGGGAGAAGACACGACTGTCCAGCTTTCCGGACTCTTGTACCTTCAAGAGCTCCGTCCGGTCTAGCCTCAGGGCCTCGGGTCTCAGCTCCGCTCGTAGGAGATCCGGCCTGACGGCTTCAGGTCTCAGGGTTTCTGGTCTCAGGGCATCTCTTAGCGGATCCGAGGGCACAGGCGGCAGGATAGGCAGGCCGGGCGGGTACAGGCGGTAGGCCAGCGGCTTCTGTAAGGCTGCGGCAGCTGCGGCTTGGCGGTAGTACAGGTCGACGGAGGCTGCGGCTGCGGCGGCTGCGGTGGACGGTTGCGGCGGGTAGGGCCAGCCGTAGGTAGGCCCGTAGAGCCTCTGCAAAGCGGCGTAGTTGCCAGCCTCGGCCAAGAGCTCGAGCCCGACCGCCGTCTGACGCTTCCACTTGGTCCTGTAAGGGGTGACACAGGTTAGCACCACTACACTCTCGCTACACCTGTCTCTCTACACCCTGAGCTCACAGAACACACTACATCATTCTATAAACACACAGAGAACACCCTACAATAGGCAAAATATATATACACACGGTATTCCCTACACCAACCAATACACACATACACACACACACACACACACACACACAGCCAGAGCTCAACCCCCGCAAACACAACTAGGTGAGTACACACACACACACACACACACACACACACACACACACACACACACACACACACACACACACACACACACACACACACACACACACACACACACATTCAACACACACACACACACACACACACACACACACACACACACACACACACACACACACACACACACACACACACACACACACACACACTCAACACACTTTCTTAACACACAGCACTTCCAATACGTCAAATAATCATTACACCCAAATAATACTAATCTTTTCACACTGATTTATTCTAAGATTCGTCACACTCCTCCTGTGTTGTACACATGTACACTGTACGAACTGATGCACCTGTACATTGGCTGTACACTGACTGTACACACTTGCGAACGGTCATGTACACTGACAGTAATAGCTTACACACTTTCAGATTCACTGTACAAACGTACTTGTGCACAGTACATACTTACGCACATGTACACAGTATAAATATACGCACATGTACGCTGTACAAACTTCCACACATGTACATTGACTACAAACTTACACACATATACGCTGACTGCAAACTTACACTGACTGTACACACTTACATGTACAGACTGTACAAACTTACACACTTACATGTACAGACTGTACAAACTTACACACTTACATGTACAGACTGTACAAACTTACATACATGTACAGACTGTACAAACTTACACACATACATGTACAGACTGTACAAACTTACACACTTACATGTACAGACTGTACAAACTTACACACTTACATGTACAGACTGTACAAACTTACATACATGTACAGACTGTACAAACTTACACACATACATGTACAGACTGTACAAACTTACATACTTACATGTACAGACTGTACAAACTTACACACATACATGTACAGACTGTACAAACTTACATACTTACATGTACAGACTGTACAAACTTACATACTTACATGTACACTACAAACACAGAAACCATTAGTAAAGTATGAAAAATTACAGACGTTTAAAACCCACTTTTCTGTTGTGTTATCGTCTGGCAATCATGAACTTTAGTCGTTCAACGACAAGAAAATTAAGAAAATGCTTACTAAATTGACCATAATTTACAAACTTTTGATGCTTGCTTTTATAGCTTTTTTTTAATATATCAATTGAATTTTCACATTCACTGTCGACGGCTTTGGTTGGAAGGTTTTTTTTTAATATATAGACGAACTAAAGCTAAAGCGATCACCATCATTTAATGATTCTAAACTATTCTTTATCTTAGAATGATTCATTACTGGGGCCAGATTCGCGAAGCAGTTACGCAAGCACTTACGAACCTGTACATCTTTTCTCAATCTATGGCGGCTTTGTTTACAATTATTAAACAGTTAATGAGCTCCGAAGCACCAGGAGGCTGTTTATAACAATAACAACAGTTGATTGGGGAAATTTTCATGCTTGTAAACTGTTTACTAAATGTAACCAAAGTCGTCAAAGATTGAGGAAAGATGTACACGTTCATAAGTACTCGCGTAACTGTTTCGTGAATCTGGGCCCCTGATATCTATCCTAGGATCTGAGATGCTAGGTCTGCGACCACTCAACACAGAAACTTGGTATCAGAACACTTTGGTACGACTCGGTACCACTTGGTACGACATGATACGTCCGCTACAGTACCTGAACTTGACCTTGGACCACTTACCGTCTGTTCTGGTACCAGGTCTTGACTTGGGTGTCGGTCAGGTTGAGCTTGGCGGCCAGTTCCATGCGGTCCTGGACACTTAGGTACTTCTGCCGCTCGAAACTCTTTTCCAGCGTCTGTAACTGGTTGTCTGTGAAGGCTGTCCGCGCCTTCCGTTGTTTCTTGGCCGCTGGACCTGTGTCGTTACCTGTAGGACAGGTAAACATGGTAATTATCACGATTATGCGCTTAGCAAGTAGGATTATATAGCAACTGAACGAGATATGAAGACAAGGAGCTGAGATATGAGGATAAGGAGGTGGGATATGAGGACAAGGATCTGGGATATGAAGACAAGGAGCTGGGATATGAAGTCAAGGAGCTGGGATATGAGGATAAGGAGCTGAGATATGAGGACAAGGATCTGGGATATGAAGACAAGGAGCTGGGATATGAAGTCAAGGTGCTGGGATATGAGGATAAGGAGGTGCGATATGAAGACAAAGAGCTGGGATATGAAGACAAGGAGCTGGGATACGAAGACAAGGAGCTGGGATAGAAGGATAAGGAGCTGGGATATGAGGACAAGGAGCTGGGATATGAAGACAAGGAGTTGGGATATGAGGATAAGGAGGTGGGATATGAGGATAAGGAGGTAGGATATGAGGACTAGGAGCTGGGATATGAAGACAAGGAGCTGGGATATGAGGACAAGGAATTGAGATATGAGGACAAGGAATTGGGATATGAGGACAAGGAATTGGGATATGAGGACAAGGAATTGGGATATGAGGACAAGAAGCTGGGATATGAAGACAAGGAGCTGGGATATGAGGACAAGGAATTGAGATATGAGGACAAGGAATTGAGATATGAGGACAAGGAATTGGGATATGAGGACAAGGAATTGGGATATGAGGACAAGAAGCTGGGATATGAAGACAAGGAGCTGGGATATGAGGACAAGGAATTGAGATATGAGGACAAGGAATTGAGATATGAGGACAAGGAATTGGGATATGAGGACAAGGAATTGGGATATGAGGACAAGGAATTGGGATATGAGGACAAGGAATTGGGATATGAGGACAAGAAGCTGGGATATGAAGACGAGGTGAAGGAACGATAAACAGATGGATAAAGCAAAGTCACTTTACTTTCAAATAAGTTGTCAAAAACTTTAAGAACGTTTTAACTCAAAGAATAAAACACGAATCTTAAGAGTTATTAACACCATGAAATCCCAACCAGGATTCCTCGGGGATTTAGGCAAAACCACTTATACCAAACCTGTACATCTGTCCTCAATAAAGCCAGCCAGATGTACTTTATCTTTCCAGCAATAAAGCCAGAACTCATAAACTGTTTAATAAAAAGCTCCGAAGCACCACGAGGTTGCTTAGAACAATAATAACCTTGGATGGTGAAGTTTCTAAGACCGTAAACTGTTTAATATATGTAAACAAAGCCGCCATGATTAAGGAGAGATGCACAGGTTCCGTAAGTGGTTGAGTAAATGCTTGAGGAATTCTGGGTCAGGTCAGGCGTAAGAGCATAAGATTTATGGATTAAATTAATCCATTTATTCAAAAGAAATATATATATATATATATATATATATATATATATATATATATATATATATATATATATATATATATATATATATATATATATATATATATATATATATATACACGCGTTGAAGACATTACTTGAATGTTGACATTACATTAATGTGGAAGACATTACTTCGCCTCACTCCCGGCCCGACCACGTGGCCGCTGAACGAATGGGTCAATGGCACTTGCATTGTTTCGTCTCGTGTTGTTATGGGCGCCATTTGTCGCCGCTGCCTCGATACTGCTGGTGGTTCTCTGTCGAAGTGATTTTTTTTTTTCCTTTTGGCAACCTGTTCACAGGCTAGGTTCGTCAAAGCGGCGGCTGATCCTAACATTATATCAGATTTAACTTTAAATCGGAGTTTTTCTGGAGTAAAAATATTATTATATATTAAAATTTAATGTATATTAGGTATATAGGTTAGGTGTTTAGATTCTGGTGGTTATTATTGATATTTGCATTACGTGGATGAAGCATTTAGAGCGGTGGGATTCGAACAGTGGTCGTGAATGAAGCACAACTCAAATAACAAATACACGTCAGCAATTTGTGAGTCGTGTGTAAACTGAGGGTTTTTCACTCATAAACATGAGGTTAGGCTTCTGGATTAACGAGCATTTAGTCTTTGTTGATGAGGACTGGCTAAATTTTTTTCATACTGGATTGGCAGTCCAGTAGACCAGAGTTCGACCCTACCTGTAGCCAGGTATGGTCGAACTAGGTACTTAAGATTCATACCTGTTTAACGCACAGAAGGTTTGTCTGGTAAACAATTTTCAGCTCCCTGCACTAAGCCTATGGACTCTATTGTCTATGTCTCTATGACGTTTAATTATCTTCATAATATACAATGGGTATATTTTAACACCTATACAATCACACACTAGAAGGTGAAGGGACGACGACGTTTCGGTCCGTCCTGGATCATTCTCAAGTCGACTGTGAGAATGGTCCAGGACGGACCGAAACGTCGTCGTCGTCCCTTCACCTTCTAGTGTGTGGTCTGATCAACATACTTCAGCCACGTTACTGTGACTCATCGCCTGCACCAATACATATCAGTTATACGCCAAAAGGTATATTCACTAATACACCAGCGTTGTTCTCCGTCGGTCGTGAAAGTGGCAATTTTTCCGACAAATCAAAACAATGTTAAAATTGCCTTACTATACTCATAAATAAAGGGGGGACCGCGAAATGCCTCTTTATTGTCCCCTGTTGCGCTTCATTGACGCATGTTGCGTGTCGGTTGCGTCAATCAGCTTCTGCGTATATGCACTCCAGCATAAATTTCAGTTTCAACTCCATAAAAGCCCTGTCTATTATTTACAAAACAGCTTACCCCTTACATAAATTGCCATCGTTGAATGCTTTTTAGAAGATGTAGAGTGGCTGCGTTCTCAGCTATTAACCCGTTTTCTTTATGCGCAGTACTAAGCTATTTTTTGGGATAAATAGCATACGGCTATTGGTAAAAATAAATAGTAGTCAGACACAAAATTGCATTAGTAAAGAGAATTGGTTGTTGGTTAGTGTTTTTTTTTTAATTTTGTGTCGAATGGGTGATTTGGAGGGCAGTGAACCACTCTTATAACTCCTCATTATTCATGACATGTCAAACTCATGACATGTCAAACTCATGACATGTCAAACTCGTGACATGTCAAACTCATGACATGTCAAACTCATGACATGTCAAACTCGTGACATGTCAAACTCATGACATGTCAAACTCGTGACATGTCAAACTCGTGACATGTCAAACTCATGACATGTCAAACTCGTGACATGTCAAACTCATGACATGTCAAACTCATGACATGTCAAACTCATGACATGTCAAACTC